TATGAAGACGAGTGTCACAGGGGAAAAAATGAATAAAAAATAGAAAGGACACAATAACAGAGAGACAAGCATGAGCTTATGGGACACACCACCGCCCCGCGAGCAAAAACACACCGCGCCAGTTGGTAAAACTTCTTCCACGTCCGCACTGAGAAGGCAACGCCGACGGTTCGGCAATTGCGAGAGGATGGACGGGCTGCTGGTTGTCGTCGGCGTTATCGGCCAGCAGGCGAGCCCTCCTGCCCGATGGGGGGGGGAGAGACTGCGGGCCATCCGTCCCCTTCGCCGGCCGCGCCTGCAGTTCGTCACCTGACGCCGCGCGCTTGCCTGAGGTTAGGACCATTTTTTACGACCCTCGGGGCCCAGTGATGCGCAATGGGCTTACCCGGGCTTCGACTCGCGTTTTCTCCCCACCTCCTCGCCACCGGCGCTTCTCACTCAGTCAATCCCGCGCAAGAATGTTGTTGACTTTGCTGTGCGTGGCACGCCGCTTGTAGGATCGCTTGGGTTTTAGGCGCGCGTTCCTTGCGCGGTATTTCCGTTGTGTTTTTTTTTTTTACTCCCCCCCCCCCCCCCCCCCTAAATAAAGTCTTCATACGACAAATTCGATTTCGCTCGTTATTTCTGCAGCGAAGAGATGTAGCGGAAGAATCGTGTTTCTTTCCGACGAAGTGAAGAGGCGAACGGATTTCCTGATAAAGCATTCAGCTGAGTCCAGAATGACGCAGCGTGGTCTCAGCCATAGAGGTTATTGTAATGTACGCTAGAGGTTGAAGTGGCGCTAGTGTGCTGACGCAAATTGAAGCAGACAGCAACCAGTCCGAAAATGACTTCCGGTAATGCATTTCTATGGGGAAAAAAACGAGTGCATTTTCTCTCTGCGCTCGATTATAAGAGCAAATATCACGAATAATTCGTGCGTACTAGGCACATTGGGAAAATTTCTCAGTCGCGCAGATGAAATAATTGGTCAGTTACTGCGTTTTTCTTTCAAATTCGTTTGCATTAAAAACTGTGCTAAAACGGCTTCGTACGTGTATTTATGTGCACTGTCGGACACTGTTAGCGCGAACGCGACGTCGGCGGCTTTTCAGCATGAGGGATATACGTGCCAAAACGAACGAAGGACATCTGGAAAGCCAAGAGAGGACGGCAATAATTACTCAGTAGCACTGGATCAGTAACGACCAGTGCATGCACGATCAAAATAAATTGAAGGCCACGTAATATATTCCGGTTTTAAGGTAAGTAAGTACCGATTCTTTCTGCTCTGCACGAAGGTGCTTGTTTTACGTTTAAAATATCACCCGCACGCTCGAAATCTTT